GTTTCTTCGGACGCAACTTTTATTGTGTAATTTTGTTCTCAAAAGGTTCCAGCAAGTAAGAAGGTTAATTCAAAGGTTGCTTCGCAAGAATTCTCTAATGGAAGACAGAGCGTACCTTTATTTCATGAAGCGTGAAATCGTCGCAGTCTGGATCAAAAACGTGTACGTGGGGAAAGTTTTTAAGTTCTTTAGCACAAATGATATAATAGGATGGGTCTGTCATGCGATAATTCAACACCTGGCATAGCGTATTGATGTCGACATATTTTGATGTGCAAGCCGCTCGAATGGTATTATTCGAACAGCTAACGCATTCAATGCATTCTGAATAACAGTGCGTCTGAATCTCACATCGTGCAATTTATCTTTCAATTATTGCAACAGATATTTGTCACAATTTGAGGTATTTTGCATTGATTCACGCGGTTGATTCAACTAGTCAATGACAGATCATAAATTATTACTCTATAATAAGCGTTAATTTCAAAGTGATTTATTGCAATCTTTTTTTTTTTTTTAATTTGACTTCTAAAGGGAGTTTTAGCATGTATCACGTTATCGCGCAATTATTCACAAAGTACGTGTAGTCGTACCTCCAGAAAGATAGGCATGAAGTTCTTGCGCAGCGTAATAGCAGCATTCACCGGGTAATAAAATCAAATGGTTCAGTAGAAGAGGGGTAAAACAGCCAATATCACCAGGGAAATCTCGGGACATTTTTTGAATTACTGCGACAGTTTCTTCGGTAAGAGATCCACGTACTGCAATACTTTTATAATTATGTGTAACTTTTTAGTAAATTTACTGTATAATTAATTTAATAATCATTCACTGTATGATTCAATTAATAATCATATACTTGTGGACTAATATTGTCAGGTAATCAGTTGAAAAATTTTCGTATAAATGAGTTTTAGGTTTTTCTGATACTAAAAATTTTTAATGTTTTTTAGTAACGAATTCCTATAAAGTATTTTATTTCAGTACTTAAATTCACTGATTAACAATCATTATCAAATTCAGACATATTATTTTGTTTCAGGTTTCAGTTTGTTTGCTTACAAATAATTAATATCAATTTATTTCCTAAAATGTATCATAAAAAGTTTTTTTTTTCTGATATTTTCAAGAAACAGTTATTGCCAACAAGAAAAAAATTTCGAAAATTTTTCAGTATTGAATTTGGTCACTTTTGGATATAAAAATTTTTTTGTTTTAGGATTTTTTATTTTTGGATTTTTTATTTTAGTGAAAAAATTTTTTCACTAAAAAATAACAAACCTCCATTGGCTAACTTGACCAGTAAAGAGTCCAGTGATAATTTCACTTCATCGACATCAACAGCATATTTCATGAATTTTTTGAAGCACACAGCTAACGCAGCTTTGAGAGTTTCACATTCTTCGCTTATTCCAGCTTTTACTAATATTTGAAATGCTTGACTTGTATCTTCTCCCATTAAATGTTTAAGTTCAGGGAAAGCTAAAATGTGTGAATAGATAAGATTTAAAAGGTTATAATGCAAAACAATGAAATAAAGTATTAAAAAATGTTATAAATATTATATAATATTATAAAAAATAGATAATTAAAATGCTGTTATAAATCAATAAAGATCTCATAAATCTTTATTGATTAAAAATATTTGATAAATCTATGCAAAATAAAAATTTTTATAATTTCTCAAATTATATACTTTTTAAATTTAAATGTTAGGACCTTCAAAATTTGCGCATATCTGATCAGGTGGTCGAAAGCCACATAACAATTCAAATCGAGTGAGTGCATAAGCGAGTTCTGGTTTATGATTTCTATCTGGATAATGTGATGGATCAGAATCATTTAATCGAGCAGCTTGATCCTATAATATATTAAATCAAGTTTCGATTTGGTTTAAATTAATATACATTACTTTTCCTAAGCATAAACTTGAAAAAAAATTTTAAGTGATTAATTGAGTAATTAATTGATTAATTAGTTGGTCTCTTTTAGTTCTTCTAAATCTTAATTTGAATTTTTTTCTTGTTTTCGCTTTTTTGAGTGATTGATATTTTGCTTGATTTATTGATTTATCATGAAAATATTTTTAAATAAAAAAAGATAAAATATCAAACCTTTGTAGGATGAACTTGTATTGATAAACTATGTTCTATACTCATTAACTTCATAATAAATGGAAGATGCTTTTCAGTAGAAACTTTACAATGATCATCATCACATTCAGCAATATGCTGTGAAAGTTTTTTTTGAGATCGTTGAAGATAACATGGTCCATCTGGATGTGTACCCATCCATAACTATAATTTTAATTCAAATTTATTAATTACCTTTTTTAATTCATTAAATTTTTTATGTTATTTTTATGTATTATAATTTTAACTTAAATAATTATCAAAATTAATTTTGCAATAATCTTTTTCTATATTTTACAATTTTAATGTCTTTTTAATAATTTTTTAGCGCAATAATTGGCTCATTAAACAACTTGTCTAATAATTATTTAATAATTATTTTGATTTTAATTAATTTTTATTTTTCTAAATCTGAGTTTTAAAATTATTTATCAAAAAAATAACATTTCGATTAATTATTTTTTGCTCAATTCATTCAATTTGATCAATTAAATTGTTTTTACCGCTCAAATTGGAACGACATATTCAATCATTTCAGTTAAAAAAGTTATTAAAAAATTGCATTGAGATTCACATGTCAATCTAAAAAGCTATGTTTGAAAATTGCTCATACGTGATTAACTATTTTTAATCAATAAAAAATAGAAAAATCAATAATGTATAGTAATACCTCAGCATATGAAGTGTTATCATCGATGGCTACATCAGCATGTCCAGAAGCATATATTCGAGCTACTTCGCTATTCATACCTTTTTTGCCCCATGGATAAGTTTGAACATGACATTTCAACTTTTCCATTTTCCTAATAAAGAATCTAAATTTATTTACTATTTTAATATTTTTTACATTTTTAGCGCTTTTTATCAACCAATAATCGATTTTTTATTCTTACAAAAATTCATCAAATCAGTCAATAAGTATTATACGATAGTTACAAAAACTAAGTTGAATATTCATTTGATTACATTAAGTAAAATTATTAAACTTCCATTAAATTAACTAATTAATTAATTAATTTTTGCGATATAATATATAAAAAGTTAATACCTATTTTCCTATCTTCTTTTTACTAAAATGCTGTACATAAATTATTCAAGTCAGGAAAATTTATTCATAATAACTTAATTAAATCCAAAAAATTACTTCTTTTTGCGTTTCTCAAATAACACTAAACATTACAAAATTTAAAATATTTTTGTAAAAAAAATTATTTTTATATATTTTACATTTGCCAAAAATGATAAAAGTATGCCTTCTTTTTTTGTTTTCTCTCAGAAACAATAAAAATAATATTATTATTTTTTAACACAAATTTTATTATTATTTATGTATCGCAAATTAATTCAAATATTATTTTTATTATTATTTATGTATTGCAGATTAATTCAAATATTATTTTAAAAATTCTGCTTCACTTAACACTTTTTAAATACTATAAAAATCTGAAAAACTATTATTTGGATAAAAAATCAACCAATCTGTTTTATATTTAAACAAAAAAGTATAATGTATATATTTAAAATCAACCATTTATATGTTCAAAATTAGTTCAAATCTCATCCATTAAAGAAATAAAATCAAATTTTTATATGATTAATTTTTGAAATGATAAAATTAAATTTTATAATATTCTAAAGATTTAATTTTTCAATAAAAATTTGTCTTATAAAAAAAATGTCATTTAATTAAGCGATGCATTTCTACACTTGCTGCAATGTAAAATAGGTCAACAGTGCGTCTTCTATATCGCCAGAGGGTAAATTATTTTTGCAATTTTGTATTTAATGAACTTAAACATATTTAAAACATTAAAAGTAAAGTTTGTTTGACTCACTACAATAATTCTATAATTAATGTCATTATTTATAATTGTGAAAACAAATTATTTTATTAATATTTTTGTGTAAAAAAATCAATGACGAATTTTGACCCATTTTTTAATACTTAATAATAGCAATATTCTTTAATAAAATTATTTTCATAGCTTAACTGTAAAATGTATGAAATGACATCAAATATAAATTCTGTCTTGTTTATATGTACTCAAATAATGGAATATAATCAGATAATAATTATTAAAACTTTCTGACAATAAAATTTAGTTGAACAATTAACGATAAGTAATTTTGATTATTAAAAATGGAAAATTAAAAATATTTGTTTTTAAAATTTTCAGCTTTTGCTTTATGAACAATGAAGCTAAATAAATCAATAGAGTAAAAATAAAATAAAAGTATAATTTATCTATATATTTTTGGTTATCAAAAAACTAAGTGCCGATTAAAGGATACCAAGATTATAAAAAATCAGTGATAATGATACATAACTTTACATTCTTATATGACAATAATAATAGTAATAGTAATAGTAATAATAATAATAATAATAATAATAATTTTTCATTATAATAACAACAATAGTGGTGATAATAGCGAAATGAAAATGATATTTAAATAATTTTTGTTAAAAATCAATGAGAATAAACTGAATAGATCAATAATTTTGGGGACAAAATCGATTATAAATATATCAGATATGATTATGATTTGAAGTATAAGTTAAAAAACTTGTATGATATTCTAGAAAATGATATCAGTACTGATACTACTGATAATGATAACTATCAAAAATAGTTATAAGAATAATAGTGAAAATAGTAATGACATGCACATATTTACGACGATGAAAATGATGCTGATGGCAAGGAATTTCGCTGTAATGACAATATCCTTATTATACTATTAGAAATAGAAGGAATAATTATAGTAAAAAATTTAATAAAAATTATTTTATATAAAAAATAAAAATGTAAAAAAAAATTTCTTAGAAATTTTATTTTTAGATACAATTAGTAATACTTTTTTTTAATGCATAAATATTATTAATTATTAACCTAACAAATGAAATAAAAAAATGAATTAAAAAATTAGTAAAAATTATAGAGATAGGTATTAATATAATTTTTGTGCATACAAAATAGTATTCTACTGCAGTTGGAATACTGTAATTATATTTATCCGTAAAAAACAATGGAAAAAATTGAATAGATTTTTATATGCTCCTCGTATTGTATATAAAATCTTTTGTATAATAGCAAGTTTTTCGTAATTAATAAATTAGAAAATGCTGACTTATTTATATAATAGTCATTACCATTGAATATGAGAAAGTTTTTAACAATATTAAATAAAAACCTAATGGCAAACAATAATAATTTTTAATAATAATAATATTAAATAATAATAATAATAATGATAATAATAATAATAATAATAAATGAATGTGTGAAAAATTTTTATGTAATAATGGATATGAAATGGGAATAATTAGATCCAAATGTATGTCTTGAATGTTATTAAGTAGACAAATGTCCAAAAATCGTTTATCTTGTCACCATTTGATTACATTTGTATCTCTGGTCATCATTTGATTACAATTATATCTCTGGTCATCTGCGACCCTTCCAAACATTATTCATGATTACACTGCAATAGTGTGTGCAGTCTTATCTTTTTGTGACAGAGACATCGCTGCTAAATTTTCCTTTTTCATATTTACAAAATCACATACGTCATATGCGCTATATATCACGTGTTTTCATTTTTATATTTTATACGTTACTTTCTATTACTTGCAGTTTTGTGTCCATTCAATCAGCATAAATTTAAATGCTAGAAGATAAAATTTATGAATATTAATAATAAACATTATCAGTAATATTCATTGATTAATATTTATTTTAATAAATTACATTGCATAAAAACATTGATCAGAAGTTTTCCACATAAATCATTGCTTTAAGTTTACAAACTGGTAATTAATTATTGCTTCCTTTAATTGTGATAATGACACTTTTCAACATTATTCTCACTATAATAATAACAATATTGATTTAATGACACTAACAAAAACAATAATAACAAATTTAAAATTAGTCATTTTAGTTACAGTTATGTATTTGATTAAAAGAGTTATGTATTTAATTATAAAAGCTATGCATTTAATTTGCAAAGTGCGTATGAAAAGAATTCAATTATATTCAAATCTTTTCAGAATAAATACGTAAAGTAAAGTTAGCAAATAGCTTCTGTAGACAGTATTGACGTACAGATGTAATACAAGTAATTCTTGATAAGTAAAGTTGAAAAATAATTAAATTAATAATTAGTAAAAATGGTTAAAATAATAATTAGTAAAAGTGATTAAAATAGTAATTAGTAATTAAAAATTGAGTTTTAATTTAATTATTAATAGCTAAAATGAATGCTAAAATGAAATAAGCACAATATTTGTACTACAAAAATTAAGAAAAAAAAAAGGCATTTCAGTGACTAGAATATTGTACACAAGAAGAAACTGATCTATATTTATTATATAAAAATGAATGAAAGAAATTACAAATCTTTTAAAGACTTCAAAATTTGTAATCATTTTTTTCCAAATTATTTTATACAGCCAAAAAAAAAATTATTATACTAATATAGGCAAAATATTAATTTTACTAATATATTTTTTATAAAGTTTTTTCTTTAAGCAAATTTTCTGATCAAAAAACAAAAAGTTCACATCATATTTTTTGAATTCATGTAACGCTAAAATTACTTTCAAAACTGTTCAGAGTATTATTCACCTCTTGAAAAATTGTGCCAGTCTTAGAAGAATCTGTAAAGAAATTTGAAACAAGAAAAATTAGATCATAAGAAATCTCGTAACACACTTTGCATAAATTTTGTACAACAATTGCAATCAATAAAAAATTTTGTTAAAAACTGTTGGATATTCTATCAGAATTCATTTTTCCCATAATTTAATTTATGCAAATTTCTTTTAATATGCACAGTTTACCTCTAAAAGTTTCAAGAAATATTTTTGTAAACAAAATCATGCAAAAAAAGTATAAATAATTAGAATGCTTGCGCAGGAAAAATCCCTTACTGTAGTGCAATTTCGAGATTCCCGCTAACTCGAAAGTCCAACTCACTAGATTCTTATTCCTTTCAAGCTATCTTCATATTGTTTGTTTATGTAAAATAATCCTTTGCATATTCATTTTTTATCTTACCAAGAAATAATTATCACTTCATAACACATTCTCTAGCAAGAATAATTGTCGACAAATAATTCAGTTCTATAATTGTTTTTAAAAGACACTAATTATTGTCTAAAATATGAAATTTGTGTAATAAAAAGTAGCATAAATGAATACAATTTTGATAATTTGACTTATTTGTTATTAAATTTGACTTTGTTTGTTTACATAAA